TCGCCGACTTTTCGCAGTCTGCCTCAGTCCCCCAACAGCCTGCGCGGCCCTTGGTAACCCGGACGACGACGCCGGTATAATTTTCGATGGCGTCAATACCATGAGTGGCAGGTGACTAAATTTTACGGAGACCTGCCACGGTCTCCAGCCCTCCTCCTATCTCATCCGGGCTTGGGTCCGGCAACGGCGGAGCAACAATACATTAGGGCTTTCAAATTTTCATTCCCTTTTTGAGCCGTTTTCTCAACGTAAGCGAGACGAATGATTTTAACGGTTAAACTTTCAATGTTGGATAAAAACCTTTTTGGCAACATTATTCCAATTAATTGAGTATCTTGAAGGTTGCTTAAGAGAGGCATGCTTAGGGGAATATGTTGCAGCTACGTTCTACTGAGCTGCATGGAGTCGTCATCAAACGAGGAACAGTATCAAAAATGATAAGTCGAATCTCGCAAAATTTCGACAGTCATCTAGTGAGAGGATTAATGAACTGCACTTATGAAACGCATATCGGAGGATGCCGACGCAAATCATCAAGCGATTCATTTACTTGGAATTTGAAGTGTTTCCAATTAAAGAAAAGGGTAGACAGACATAACTTTCGAACGGAGCCAAAATGTTTCATAGAAAAGCCAATCACAAAGCAAAGTGTAAATATCTCGAACATGGTGATGTAGAAAAGTATCAGAAACAGACTCAGAAAATTAATGTAGCAAACTAGTTACCACCTGGATGACTTCTTGTTCATCGACAAAATCATTTTAAGCCATTAATTTAAGTTGAAGCAGAACCTCCCTGGTTTGGGGTGTCCGCTGTATTTGGAGCTTTCGTACACTTTTGCTATAAGAGACCGATTACTGTATCGCAGTAAGAACAAGTTTCCTCCGAAAGCTAATCCGTCCCTAGTCTATTCAAGTTGCATCCTTGCCTCCTGGTCGAAGACTGCCTGTTTCAGCTATCACACTGGAACCTCACGGGCTGGAGTGAATGGTCTATGCATCGCCAGTTTGTCTAACAGGGTCAACCTCTTTTGATCTCCTGATCTGTCGAGGTCACCTGTGTCCGGAGGAGAATAGACTCATTTCTTACGTGATTCTCTCAGTTATTCACATGATGCGTCGAAGTCACTGCTGCTCTAGCCAGTTCCAATGTCATACTTGCCCTTTCGTTAGAACAACTGTCTCCATGATATAAAGCAACACTGATTTGGCAGATCCAGTGTACAGTCAAAATTCTGTTGATACTGTGACTCCTTTATCAACGCAGATGTTGGAAAGGCTTCATAAAGCACTCGAGAGTAAAGTGATTCTCCTCTTTAACTTTGGCTAGATAGTGTCAGCACTTGAAATACTTGAACTGGTCGACTTCCCAAAGACTTCACTTCCGCGTTGCACTTGTGGATTTTTTGTCGAATGGGTTCCTCGAAGCTCTGAGTTTCCTGGCGTTAAGCAAAAGTCCATCTGTCCCAACTATGTTGCATACGGAGGTCGTCTGTTAGTAGAGCTAACTTCTTGTAATACTCTCCAGAACAATATCACGTGTATACTAGAGATCTGCAAGATATCTAGTGGGGTATCTTGAACTGCGTCACCCGTGTAGAATGGGATCTTCGCATTTGTCAGATTCAGCACCTCTTTCATCAGAGAAGAAAGTCGAGAACTGTTTTCAATAGAAGAGTCGAAAGTAGAAAATTTTACAGTTAATAGGGACCCACTGAGATAGGTGTTGCACCTGATTTCCTACTCCAGCCAGAATTCTGTGTTTTGCCTGTGGCTCCGATTGACTGCATGACCGAGATGGCGATGAGCTGCCTTCGAAGATGCAGCAATATTGCAAGTACTCCTCTGTTTTCTGATTCTTCTAAAATCTAGGGTCTTATCCGTAACCCAAGGCAGTATTGTCATCTCTTCCTGCCCTCAGTTAGGTTTTCCCTTAAAAAAATAACGGATTGTTTGAAGTCTTTGCAGGTTTTATGGACGCTGGCTCATCCAGACTGGGCACTGCCTCCTTTTGTACGTCGACTACACAACTTGGACTTTTTAGCCTCTCATCGTGGACCAGCTGATGTGTTTCAATAAGACGACGTCGACATGAATTTAGGCGAAGTTCCTCTACGGCCATATGATAATCAGGCACATAACACAAGCGCCGAGCCTGACGTGAGTCTCTACTACCCATCTGCGCCATTTGCGGTTGGTGATGACGTAGTCCAGCTGGGTGCTTGCGCTTCCATCAGGAAACGTCCATGTGATTTGGTGAATACACTGGCACCGGTGCAAATGAGAAAATGGGTCTCGTCGACGACTGAGTTGTTTGCCGGACAAAAGCCTAACCAACGCCTGCCATTGTCATTTTCGCTGTATGCTGCGGTCGAGTACGCTTGGCAATGTTTGCCGTTCTCGGCTCCCACCTTGTCGTCGAGGTCGCCTGTCAGAATTGTAACGTCGAGACGCGAAGAGCTAATAGCGATCTTCAAGCAGTCGTGAAACTCGTGTTTCTCGTTGTCACTCGACGCATTAATTGATGTGTAGGCTAGACTGACATTCGTCGACGCCTATTTGACATTCATGGGAGAAATCAGGAATTTTTTACGACATTTTACCACCGTAAAATGCTTACCCCAGGGGACATGAGGATGTCCGTACCAACATGACGTAATCCACTTTGGCCTGACCACCAAGATGGCCACCCTCCTTCAGGTGAAACGTCTCCTTTCCGGATCCTGAGAAGCAAGTTTCGGTAACAGAACGGCCAGCACATCGAGTTTGTACCACAGACGTCATCGAATTTACTTTCGCCAGACAAGGAACGGAACTTACCTCTTGCAGTGGTGATAGCTGGAGTGACGAATTTGTTGGTTCCTAATGGAGTTGTACGTTTGCGAGAGGGAACCGCCGTCCACCCAGCTCATTGTCACGAGAGCAATAAAGTCATTAAGAAATCAACCCGATGACGCTATCGGGTTATAACTGTGGACTGAGCATGACTAACTGGCTCTAATATTCGAAGTTAGTTAAGAGTTTCGAAGAAAGTTAAGAGATTAATAAAAAAGAAAATATTACATAACAACGAAAAAACGAAAATGCAAGAACAATTAAATGAGAATCAAAAGCATGTATTCCAGAAAAAGTTGCTGCTTGATCAGGGGATTCATTTATTACAAAAATGATTAAAAATTTTAAAAAATCAATATTTTTTCAGTATTTTAAAAAATTTATCAAATTCTTGATTTGGCTGCGAGTCTTGCATGCCTCGATTACCCTCGACGGTATTCAGCGGTATAGCCATTGATGCTGGACAAAATTGAGGCGAGAGGCCAAGCTGTGTGTGGCATACTATGTGGAATTTAACAATCATTGCATATCACAATGAAAATATTCGGATGCGTCTGCGCTCGAATCACCAAAGGCCGCGTCGGCTATTAGGGAAATGAGGCATTCTGTAATAGGTTAACAATCGGAACCTGTTTCAGTCTTTCCGCATCTGGGAATGTGGCAGAATGGAAACGTCTGTTCAGGCAGTGGTCAAAAAAAGAAAATAAGGTTGTGGTGGGATATCATTATATTGCTGTGAGCAGGGCAAGGGCTATCGAAAAAGAATGTTGGAAAAACAGAAAAAAGTCTATCCCTCGATGATGCAAGCAAGCTTCCATCTGGCGGACTACAGATGGTTCCTTGAGAAGAACATGCTACTGTCAGAATATGAGTTCAGTGAGATAAGACGAGCGCTTAACAGTGACACCACTGCGCAAGAGGATCAACCTACTAAATCTATCAGTGAAATCATTTAGGACAAACTTATGAGATAGGAAATCAGAGTGGCTGATGTGGCAGAAGTCATACAGCTGAATGATAGAAAAATTGCTTCGGTAGGAGATCCTTAAGGAATTAAACAGCCTGAGAGACTTAAGGGATGTAACCCTCCTACTAAGAATACGAAACAACTGCGTGATTAGATCAGATGTAATGAAGACGATGCAAACCACTAATTTTAAATTCATCAGTGCTGTGATATATGCGACGGCTCTTGCCATTACGAAGAAATTCTTTCTTTGGGAATAAGCACTTTCGTGAAGAAGAGGAGAACTATCATGGTTGAGCAGAATCAAGAACAAGCACTAAGAAATAAGTCGAGAAGTGAGTCAACTACAGCAACTGAACTGGGGCGCCATAAAGCAATCAATGGCGAATGTATTGAAGAAGTACGGTACTGAACCAGGCAAAACAGCCAGATGCCATACGAGGGCACAAAGCAAAGGCCTGTGGTGGCAAAGCTTCGAAGAAACCAGAACAAGTTCGAGTGGCACAAACAGAGCAAGATTTTAATCGAAACACCAAATGATGTATAGAAAACTGGAGGCAAACGAAAACCTACAGGGAATGCGGAAATCTTTGGTCTTAGCGCAAAAGAAAGCTCTTCACTTCTGGAGAAGGGTACAGAACAATATAAAGCCCTCAACAGAAAAACTGCGAATTGGACCTTCGAACAAAAAAATCACAATCACTGCAGAGAAATGTGCTCCAGGAGCTAAGGATAATGAGACCTGGGCAGCATCGGGCGCAGACAAAGTGCATGTGTTATAATTTAAGCATATCTGAATA